AAAGGCTAACATTGTTATATTTTTACAAAAAACAGCTGAACATGAGAGGTTTTTGGACCAATTTTGTGTTCTCCATTCTTTAAGCACCGGTTTGAGCACCGGCACCGTTTCAAAAGTACCGATTTGGCACCGGTATCGGATAAAACCTAAACGATACCCATCCCTACTCAGCAGAGCAGCAAACATTATCAAGGACAACTCCCACCCTGGTTTTAACATGTTCAGCCTGCTTCCCTCAGGGAAGAGCTACAGGTGCATCAGCACAAAAACCCACAGACTCAAAAACAGTTTCTTCCCTAAAGCCATAACCACCCTGAACTCACACATGCACCCCAATTTTTTCCCATTTCCTCTATGGTGGTACACTGCAATACAAAATTCTATGTGCAATAACCCAACAGTATATACATAATACTATTAATTACATATTATTTTTCAAAACTGGCTTGTATATTTGTACATTTTACATATAATGTTTTTCCTCTGTTAATACTGTCCATATGTATATAGTGTTGCAGAACTCTCCCCCCTAGCATGTTTACACTGAGTAGGAGATGCTCTGTATCTCATTGTACAACAGTATAGTGACAATGAAGACATTCTATTCTATTCTATTCTATGTATATGTCTGACTTGTTTTCACTTATTCTGACAACTTACATTTATTAGAAAGAGAATTTTAAAATTAAATTTGATGGTACATACAATGTACTTTATCCTAGTCATAGAAAAACAATATCAGAGTTGTATTCTTAAGCAATCTATAACCAATCATACATTCTGCTGCACATATTAAAAAATATGCCATCTTTTTTCTGAGTCATGGTGTGGTTTTGGTTAGCTAAGCATGATGACAAGAAACAGTGTGAGCAGCTAGCTTGTCTCTGTCCAAAGATAAAGAGCAGCTGTACCTGGGCCTCCTTGTTCTGATGGTTTTTTGTCCATAACTAACGTCTTGGGTTCTCACTGCTGAGTAGACCACAGCTGAATCAGTCTCTACAGAATAAAACAGATGCAGGTACAACAATGACATCACTGTTATTCCTCCACAGCTTTGGCAAAACATTTTTGTTATTTGTAATTTTGCATTATGAAAAGATTAAGTGATAACTTTTATAAACTGCAGCAGCTTTTCACAGGTTTCTTATTTTCACACCTGTGCTGTGAAACACAGTTAACACACATGAAACTGGGGTTCGGGTGTTTATGTGAAAAAGAACGTGGACCAAGACAACGCTGACATTATCTGTCAACGCAGACTCACACACTTCACCTCAGAGCACAAAGCAAACATGTTCTCACAACAGAAACACGGATATTAACCAGAACAGGACACAGTGGGGTGAAAAGCCTTGTAAATGTAACTTCATGAAAAGGTTGAATGTATGTGGTTAGGACATCATAGAAACTTACAAATTATTAACTTTATAAAAGTGAACATTCAAAATTTAAGTAAAGACACTAAGATAGAATTTAAATGTTGGAATCACATACATACAAAAGGCAAAGTGTAAATATAAAGCAAAAAAAGGGAGAACATTGATTTTTGCACAGCTCAACGGATCTATCAAAGTCCCTCCTGTTTCAAAAAGTGCACAATAAAAACATTCCCATGAAACTCTCTAACCCTGGGTTAAATGACTACAGAGTTGGAGTTGATTTCACACTAGTGATAGCACGAGACGGAGGTTCACACTGAGCACATGTGACAGAGTCTGGAGATGCCGTGGAGAATGTTGTGCTGCCTGCAACATCCTCCAGCATGATCGGTTTGGCAGTGGGACAGTAATGGTGTTGGGTGGCATTTCTTTGGGTTTCTTGTCTTTCTTAGACTTCTGCTGCCTGAGGTATTCACTGAGCATGCGATTGGTTTGGGCCATCTTCCTCATGTATGTATGGATGTTCATTTTCTCATCCTGGACTGTGGTACTGACACTCACTAGTCCCCGCCCTCCTTCCTTCCGCTTAGCATGCAGCCTCAGGGTGGACTTGAGGTGAAACCCTCCATGCATGGTCAGGAGCTTCCTTGTCTTGATGTCAGTGTAGTTTGATTTATTTATTTAGGACAGTGCATGTTAATGAACATAAATGTAAAGAAAAAATTACATGAATGTAAACATACCAGATTATAGCCAAGGGGTCCGTTCTTCGTACGTCGCTTACTACATCCAAGATCAAATCATCGCGCTAACCGTGAGCTCGCTAATCCGGTTC